TTTACAGATCTTCTTTATGCACCAAGAGCTTGTAACACTCCAAAGAGAAAGGAAAACTTGAAACCGCATCATATGACCCCTTTAAGCATGCATCGCCTAATTACGTCATTGTTGAAAACACATGGCTTCACACTGTTACAGTCAGCCGGTTCCCACAGAGTGTTCCGCTGAGACACCGGCCACCCAAGTTTGGACTTGTGAATGCAACTCCTGCGGTAATCTTTATGGCATTCTTTGTCTTCTGCTCTGCTGGGAAGCATTTTGTCCTTTTGGCAAGATGAGCAATAGCTGTCCTTCTAAATGGACTGGAAATTTATTCACTGGCAGAAGTACTTTCTGTGTTAAAATTCAAGCTTGGTTCTTTTGCTTCTTCATATTTCCCTTATTTATCATTGCCAGTTGCCCAGAGGCAGAGCACAGCTATGATGCGCTTTCGCGAACACATCATACACAGTTAGGGGGACATTAATAATGGGCTTTTGGTACGACATTACCAGCACTCTTTTAGAGACATAATGAATAACTAATGCATATTTGTTTGTCATCTATATTTTTCCAAATGACCTTAGCGCGCTCATTTAGTCAAGACTCTGGAATGCATTGCTTTCTATACATTGTAACTTCTCCGTGTCATCCCATATATCATGTGCTTAATGTTTGTGTAACTCACAGACACAATATTGATGCTTTTTCCGCAGGGCATGGCTTGCGCTGGCATTTCAGGAGCGGGAGCTGCCCACTGTAATGAACGTGTACATTAACCTGCTGGCGTACATTATTAATTTCAGACGTGATGGAGTTCGCTTGTCACCAGGGCCATTATTTGCCTATTTGCCCTGCTTATAAACCTGCTTCACTGCCCCGATCTAAATTCATAGAGAGAATATAGTGCATGAGTGCACTGTGAGGTGCCCATTCATTATCTGCAGGCCCTTAGCAGGGGCTGTTAAGCTCCTGTCTAATGGCTTATGCTACACCTGAGGGACGACTCGCTGCTAAACCGCCAACTTGTCATTTGCTGACATGATAACAAGAGTAATCAATTACAGACAGACTCATTAAAGTGTCCAACTTTTTAAACTCTTCCAACTTGGGGTTTTGGACAGTTGAGCAGTGGGTTTCTATGACTCACTGGAGTAGAATGCAAAATCCCTGCATCCCTAATTGTACTAATATATTTTGTCAGCAGTGCTTTGTTACTCCCTCGCTTTGTCTTGGGGTATTACACTACGTGCCAGTTTAGAGGGCTTCAATGAAGTCCACATGTCTGGTTGGCCCTCCTTGTGGTCTTTCAGTTGATTTCATCATCTGAATTGTCTTAGGGAGCAGAATTTGACCTCAGTCCTGGAGTTGGCTGCCATGACCAATGAATGTGCATTTGACCAAAAGTGCATTGGTCACTAGGTCTGTAAAGTTACTTTCAGTGTTTATACAGCTCTCGCTCCAAATTCATTTCTAAATTGAAATGTATTCATTTAATATTATTTGTAGACAATTTAGTAGCACTTTGTTTTAATATACATGAACTTGAGTGTACTTACCTAAGATATTACTAAGATATATATACACCCCCACACACACACACACTATATATATAACTAAAAATAATAAATAATGTTGAAAACACTGAAATTTATTGTTTCCGCCACTTTCTTGCAACACTGTATACCATGTAGCTTTGAAATTTGCATTCTTTTTACTAAGCCGAAGGTTCAATCTGTGACATTTGGGTTCTTTAATGGTCAACCATCT